AGGAAATTTCAAAGAACAGTTTGAGAAGACAAAGGCACCTATAAACAAATGTGCCAAGTCTTAGAATTAGAAAACCGGCAGGGTAGAAAACGCTCTGCATGTATTAAACTGAAAAGTTAGAAAAGTTTCAAGCCTCGAATTGCAATCTTGAAGGTTTCTATGGTCAAAATGTTGAATGATGCAGGAATCATCAAAAGACAAGGAAAGAAGACAGAGTCACTGCACCAAAAAGACATAGGTGGACATCACACCATTTCAGGAGGTAGTATATGAACAAGAATCAGTGGGTGCTGTAGGATGAGTTTCAAGAATTTTAAGCTGCACTGAAGACCTTGGCCAAGAACAAAGCTCCAAGACTGGATGACATACCAATTGAAATGTTTGAACAGACTATGCTAGGAAATTTATAAGACAGCTACTTGGTCCAGCTTACTTGAAGTGATCCATATTTGTACCCATTCCAAAGAAAGGTGGTGACACAGCAATGTTCAAACTGTAGAATGCTATCGGTGATTTCATATGATAATAAAATTTTGCCTAAGATCATCCAACAACAGCTGCAGCAGTACATCGACAGAGAACTGCCAGAGGTCCAGACCAGATTCAGAAGATGTTGAACAAGAGGTATCTTTGCGGATATCAGATGAGTGTTTGCTGAAAGCAGAGAATATCTGAAAGATGTTTACTTATGTTTTGTTGACTATGCCAATGCATTCATTTGACTGTGTATATTATAACAACTATGGATAACCTTAAGAATGGGGATTCCTGAACACTTCATTGTGCTAATAAGGAACTTCTACATGGAGCGAGAGACAGTTGTGGGAATGGATCAAGGGAATACTGCGTGGTTTAAAATCAGGAAAGGTGTCCGTCAGCATTGTATCCTCTCACCACTCATTTCTCCTGAAAAACATCTGGTGATGACCTTGTAGTTAGTAGTCCAGTGCATAATTTACTATGCCACGAGGGTTTCTTAAACCCATATTAGACATTGAAAATTAATCATGGTATTTTTTGGCAATGGCCTAAGAGACAAATTTGATAATATGACTGCCCCTGCCAGACAGACAGATTCCAAAGTCAGTTTACAAAAGTGTTTGAAGGTAGGAGGTTCTGGGTTTAAGTATCCTAGGACAAGATTAACTTTTGACTGAAAATACTTGATTTTAGCCACCAAATGAAATATAATAGTGTTTTATGTCCTAAAGTTGTATTTTTAACTATAGTTTCTACAAGGAAAATGCATTCTAAATTTAGTATCCTGTAACAGCAAACCTATCCCTTGAAATTGTTTTTGCCTATGCAAAAATTCAGTTTTATGTAAGAAAGGCAGTCTGGTATGTGCTCTTTTAGAAATGATCTACTTCTGGAAGTAGTGAATTTTCCTGTTAATACCACGAACTAGGTAAGTATTTGCTTGTGATGAAACATTTTTTCACTGTACAACAGTTGGATCAGTTGACTCTAGGGATAATCTTACTTTGTTTTAAAAGGCATTTTGAATACCCTGAAAGGTGCAAATGAAAACAACCATGTAGTAGCACCTTACACATGCATTAACAGCCAAGTTCATAAAAATAAAAAGTAACAAATTCTAGAGAGACTGTGGAGAGATTGGAACCCTCATACACTGCTGGTGGGAGTGTAAATATATACAACCGCTGTAGAAAATGAAATGGCACCACTTACCACAATTGGGAATAGGAATTCCTTAAGATCCCAAAATGGTAGATCTTCCATCCTTGAGATATTAAAATCTTGTTGCTTTTCAATGTTCTTTTGAGAGTGGGGAGTCAAAAGAAGTCTGGAAAGGTCGGGTCAAGACTATAGGGCAAATGGAGTAAGATTTCCCAACAAAATTTTCATGCTCTTGGTAAGTGCAAAGAATAAGCAGGTGTGATAGGATGCCGGTTGGAAGTCCTCAGCACAACGTCCCTGGCCTTTTCCTCACCTGGTAAGTTTCTTAAAACCTTCTGTGATTTCCTGTGTCATTGGAAAACATCTATCCATATTATCTACCCTAACCTTTGGAGCTGACTTCTCTCCACATTGAATTTAACTGTCCCTACAGATCCCCTGGAAGCCACTGATTTGATTGACCTTGCTTTCTCGACTGTATTGGTAAATCCAAGAGTTATTCCAGTTAATGATTCCTTCCTTAAAATTACCCTCATTACTTTCAATCTTGTGTAAAAGATGATGCCAAGATCAATCTCTCAGCGAACTCTTTTAAGTAGTGCTTTTGCCACCCATTGAGCGAAAGCTTTCGGAGGCCCAGATGTTCACTTAAAAGTAAAAATGCTGGGAGGGAGGGGGAAAATGAGCAAATGATATTGAGGGCTAAAGTAGAGGGCAAATGTTTTGAGATTGATGAGGGCAACAGGTGTACATGTGTGCTTGACTCAATGGATGGATGTATGGACTGTGATAAGAATTGTACGAGCCCTCAATAAAATAATTAAAAAAAAAGAATAATGAGGGTAACAAATGTACAGATGTACAAATGTGCTTTATACAACTGATGTATGTATGGATTGTGATGAGTTGTGTGAACCCCCAATAAAATGACTTTTAAAAAAAGTTAAAATGCTGAATCATATGAGATTCCTAACTTTAGTAGCTATTATATTAATGGCAATTCTTTGGTCGACTTCTACCAGTGTCTGGCCTTTAGCTACAGTTTCTTCATTCATTGAGGTTGAAGGTATTTCCTCCCTTGGCTTATTGACTACTTCCTGGCTTTCCTTAAAGCCCTTGGTTCCTCTAAAAACTGTTGTTTTATGTGGAGCAGCATTCCAGTAAACTTGTAAACCTTTGATAATTTTTAAAGATGCCTACTTGGGTTAAATATTTGATATTAGTGCTGATCTCAAAATCGATTTTTCACCCCTGTGGCACAAAGTATATCTTCTTTTTGTTAAGTCTCAAATGAGACTAAAACATGGCTAAGAGGTTTTGTTTATTGCCATATTAATTTTAGAGACATGTATAAACTTTTTGGGAGGGACTTGGGGGTGTATAAACCTTTGGATGCATGAGCCAGAACTCCCAATAGCAATCCTTTGTGACTGATCCTCATATAGCATATTGCTTGATATCTAGTTATGTAATCTTCCTTAGATAGTTTTCTGTTCTCAGAGCTGACAGTAGTGTTGGTCTCATGAGGCTGACTGATATCAGGAGATGTCCACTAGGAAAGTGCCCTGACCACAGGGTCAATGACAGTTCTCCCTATCACATGCAACTGTGAAATATCTTTGAAACTGTTCTTAGATGTACTTCGGGGGTGGGGGGTGGGTGAGATAAATGAATGTACCTATTTGTGGTCTCTTAATTTGCAGGGCCAAAGGACAGGTCCTGCTAATTATGTAAATAGACATTGATTTTTGTAATCTGGTACTGAAAAGTATTGAATAAAGATAAGTAAACATAAGTATTATTTATGTATATCTGTGATTTGACTGTAAGGACTTTAACCATTTTAAGTGTTGTAAATTTTTCTTAACATTTAACACAAATCCTTTTAAATGTAAATTAAGTGTCTTGATTTGTACACCTGTTCAAAGAATTTGCTTCATGTGACGTATTTACAGCTAACTCCCAAAATGGGCTAGTCGCAGTGCCTTCACGGATGCTATAGCTAATGATGTGTATAGATGGGCAATTTCACTGCTTCGTCCTTGAAACATTCTGTAGTTGGATTCAGAAGTGTGCTTAGGCATTTTTTCTGTTTGTGATAAATTATATCTAAGTAATTGTTGGTATTTTAAATTACATTTTAGGAAATTGCTGTATTGCAAAACTATGCTTAGTTGAGGATAATGCTTACTAGTTATTCATTTAACCTTTATCATGATTTTGGGTTATTTAGAATCTCTCAGCCGCCATAAACATTACTGTAAGGAAATTGAACCTAGATGGCTAAATGTTTTATGAATGAAAATTAGTGTGTTGAAAATCAGTCATGATGCCAGCAGTCAGCCCTGGAAGGGGCTGTTGTGATGGTATATGTGGGTGGCCAGCTAAAGGCTTCTGTTAAAAACAGCTACTGGACTAGGGGCCACTCGAGTCCCTGTTTTAGTTCTGATGCTCTTTGAAGTAAGTGGGCTTTTGGTTAGTGATGAAATGTACACCCAAATTGTACCCGATTAAATCAAACCATTCATGAGAAAACCTGCTGATACGGTACAATTAGTCTTTGTTTCCTCATTAGAGTTTCTAGTTTATTTGGAAATAATGTGGAAAATCGTAAATGTGTTTGTAAGACTTTACTGACCAATTTTTTTTGTAATTTATCAACTTAGAACTTATTGCTTGTGTTTTCAGGTAGAATGTCACCAAATTTTGGTACTTTGTCTCAAGATTTCCTAAATAAATTACTCTGTATAATAGTAGCATATGTAGGATTTTAAAACTTTGAATATTGATTCTGTTTGTGGTCTTAGTGGAGTTTTTAAGTCTCATTACAGGATGATCAGTTTGTAGCAATTTTTAAAATATGTTTTAGTAGTTGTTTAGGTGGGAGGTGCCTGAGTGCAATCGTGACGACATGTGAAATAGTCCTCAATGGTTACTAGTAAAAGTAACTTATGTAGAAAAAGTTATTAGTTATCCATATTAGATTTTCTCATGTTAAAATAATCAGATCAGTACATGTATTTGGGAATTATACAAAATGTTCTTGTTAAATATATGAAGATTTAAAATATTTATACCTCTTAGTTATTGAGAAGTCATGATTTGCTTGAGGAAAAAAATTTCTTGGTAGCTTAATTGGAAATGGAAATGATATATCAAATTGCATAGAACAGAGGAGCAAATTAAGCAGTAAAGAACAGAGCTTTATGATTAGTGGCTTGTTAACAAGGGCATACATTATCATGTGAAAGCTGAAATCTTTATCCTATAATTATTACGACAGTTTATTTTGGTTAAAGCTTTACGTCAGTGTGACTGGTTCATAAATGAGAATTTTCTCTGATTTTTCCTTTCTGTAGTTTCACCAGTGATAATTAAAGAATGGGCAGCTTACAAAGGGAAGTCTCCTCAAACTCCTGAATTGGTGGAAGCTCTTGCATTTAGGGAATGGACTTGCCCCAATCTGAAAAGACTCTGGCTGGGAAAGGCAGTAGAGGATAAGAACCGCAGGATGCGAGCCTTCCTGGCCTGCATGCGATCTGACACACCAGCCATGCTTAATCCAGCAAATGTACCCACCCACCTCATGGTGCTCTGCTGTGTCTTACGGTACGTGTTGGGTCATGCTTTGTGTGGGGAGTGGATCTGGGCAACCCTAGAATACCAGTGCATTTGCAGTAAGTCTCAGTATAGGTGGGTAGCATTGTTTTTGAGCGTTATGCTGGATATTGTATTTGCTTTCTCAAACGTGTATTTTGTGTAAAGCACACAAACTTTATATTCTTATTCAAAGTATAATTGATTTGTCTGAAAATTTGTCTAAATCTCATATTTATATTTCTTATTAAATAAAGGTAACAAGTAGTATATATTTAAATTTATGCGATTTTGTATGCATATATAATTAGTGAGTAGAGTCTAAGATATTTGATAAGTTGATAATTTCAACATAGTTTCCTTTAATTATTGTAACTTTTGAAGCCTATAAGGAGGAGGAATTTCTGGATAATTATCTAATCAGAAGTGCTCCTTGACCTTATCAGCAGGCAGAGCTACAGTTGTGTTTGTAGACACTGATGAAGTTTTAAAGTTAATTTGAATTGTTATATATACCTGAATGATCACTAGTGCTTGCAGGGGTGGGAGATGGGTGTGGTGAAGCTTGAAATAATTTCAGAATTAGAAAAAAGTTACAAGTATAATACAAAAGGGGCTTGTTATTGGTTTTATTGTTTTGCTTGAACCATTTGTGATTGCTGACATGACACCCATTATCTTCACATATTTTTGTTTGTTTTTCTATGACTAAAGATCATTTTCTGTAGAACTTCAGTATTGCCCTTAAGAGTTAATAGGCTTTGAATATTTATTACTATCTAATCTTAATCTATTTCTCAAGTTGTTCTAGTAATGTCCTTTGTCACAGAATGATCAATTTGAGGATCTCTGTCTACATTTAAATTCCACATCCCTTTCATTTAGTCTAAAAATACTTCTGTCTGCTTGATGTTTATTGCCTGGCATTCTGAAGAGCACAGTTGCTCTAAGCTGTTTCTTGGGTTAGCTTTCTTACTAGTTCTTTCACTATACCCAAGTGTGTGTCTCTGTTAGAAATTTCCCAGGAGTGGGTCCCATCCTCACTGTACCCTGAAAGGGAAACTTACTGTTCACCCGTCTCACCTCCTGGCCCAGGGGGAATGCCACTTCTCTACTTTTAGTAATCATTTTTGCTGGTGGGTGCCGTTAACTTGAAGACTATACATGCATTCCATTCCTCCTTAGATTCTTCATGCTACCATTGATGTGTTTAAATCAAAATGGATGTGTAGGCTCAATGATTTGGGTATAGTCTACTACTAGTAGTATTTCATTTTATGCTTAAATTGTCACCTGTTTTGCCAATGGAACCTTGTCAAACTGGCCTCTATATTATTTTGACATACCTCTGTCATTTTTGGGGTACTTCCTTTACATTCCTGCAGATGGCTAGCCTGATCATGTACTTCCCCTGTCTCATTGGAATCGCCATTTCTTTCATCTATAGTTCTGTGTACTGGAAGATGGTATTTAGAAATGGTATTAGAATCTTAATGGTAGCTGGACTCATAGCTTTTGGAGCATTGCTACTTCCATGTCCTCTCAGTGTAGATGAATACTGTATACAGGTGCATTTCTACCTATAATTGAAAACAATGAGTTCACACCAACAACTCCAATTGCTAGTGTAAGCTTTACGCTAGTATTCTCGTTTTCTATATTTATGGCCAGGATAGTTATGTGTAGTCTCTTCTCTCATTACTTCACCTCCTTTTGAATGTCTTCTTCACCCCACCTAGAATGGGCCATCCTCCCCTCCTGAGCCTGGGTCCTAACACCTAATGTTGAGTTTCCCCTCCTTTCTAGGCAGACCTTTTTCTTACCACACCTTGACAATCCTCCCTTGTGGGGACCTCCGACACACTATTTTGAGCCATCATCACCTCACTACCCATTCTGGGCCCCATCTGAAGTCTTAAAAATCCCTAGTTGACATTAAGGCTGATAACTTATCTAGAAAGACTAAGTTGAGATAGACTATAACACACTGTGGGCCTCTTTATTTATACTGAAGTTTAGCTAATTGGGGAAGATTTGGGATTTTGTTATATTTGGGTTTTTTATTTAGAATCTCCTGATTTCCTTTGCAAATATTCACTAATGGGAAATTAAGGACTTTCGAATTTTATTATGAATCATTTTGTTGGGGGTTCTTACAGCTTTTATAACAATCCATCCATCCATTGTGTCAAGCACATTTGTACATATGTTGCCATCATCATTTTCAAAACATTTTTTTCCTACTTGAGCCCTTGCTATCAGATCCTCTTTATTACCATCCTCTACCCTCCCACCCTCATGATCCCTTGATAAATTATAAATTACTACTATTTTCATATCTTACACCGTCCATTGTCTCCCTTCACCCACGTTTCTGTTGTATGTCCTCCTCGGGATGGGGGGCGGGGTGCTATACGTTGATCATTGTGATCGGTTCCCCCTTCTCCCTTTTCTCCTCCCACCTTCCCCTTCCCGTCATGGTATTGCTACTCCCATTAGTGTTCCTGAGGGGTTTATCTGCCCTTTATCTGTCCTGTATTCCATGTGTTGAGAGCTCTTGTCTATACCAGTGTACATGTTCCAGGCTAGCCAGATTTGTAAGGTAGAACTGGGGTCATAATTGGGGTGAGGGGGGGGAACATTAAAGAACTAGAGGACTCCTGTGTGTTCCTTCAGTGCTATATACCGCACCCTGGCTGACTCATTCCTTCCTTCTGTGAGGTGATATCCAGTTGTCTAAAGATGGGCTTTGGGTCTCCACTCTGATCCCCCTCGTTTGCATCAATATGATTTTTGGGGGCCTTCTGATAGCTGATCCCATAGGAAAACTGAAAAGAAAGCACACACTGAGCCTATCTTAATCTAAAAGAACTCATGAAAAAACTGAAGCCTTGAGTTACAATCTTGGTAGGTTCTGTATTGAATGATGCAGGAAGCACCCCAAGAAGATTGAAATAATACACAGTTCCTGTATCAAAAAGAACGAGCTAACTTTTTACCATTTCGGGAGGTAGAATATAAGTAAGAACCAATGACACTAAAGGAAGAAGTTAAAACTGCACAGAAAGCATTAGCCAAAAATAAGGCTCTAAGTATTGATGGTATATCAATTGAATGCTCCATCTGGCTAATTAAGCACTGGAAGCACTTGCTCATCTCTGTCAGCAAATTTGGATGACAGCTACTAGGCCAACTGACCAGAAGAGATTCATATTTGTACCCATTCCAAAGAAAGGTGACTGACCAGAATGTCCAGATTAGAGAACAATATTATTGATATCACATGCAAGTAAATTTTTGATGACGATCATCCAACTTCCGTTGCAGTAGTACATGCAGACGTATCTGCCAGGAGTTCAGGCTGGATTCAGAAGAGGACATGGAATGAGGGATATCAGTACTAATGTCAACTGTGTCTTGGCTGAAAGCGGAGAATACCAAAGAAAGTTGCTTGTATTTTATTCACTATACAAAAGTATTGAACTATGGAGGCCTTGAGGAGATTGGGAATTCCAGAAGCCTCAATTGTGTGTTTGCATAACTTGTATATGGATCAGGAGGCAGCTGTGTGAACAGAACAAGGGAATACTGTATGGTTTTAAATCAGGAAATGTGTGTGTCAGGGTTGTGTTATCTCACTGTACTTATTCATTCTGTCTGCTGAGCAAATAATCAGAGAAACTGGATTTTATGAAAAACAATATAGCGTCAGAATTGTAGGAAGCTTGTTACTAACCTGAGATAAGCAGATGATCCAACCTTGCTTTTACTGAAAGTGAGGAGGACTTGAAACAATTGTTGATGAAAATCAAGGATTGCAGCCTTCAGTATGAATTCAAACTCCATGTAGCAAACACCCAAATCTTCACAAGTGGATCAATAGAAGACATCATGGCAAATGGAGAAAAAATGAAGTTGTCAAGGATTTTGTCTTGTTTGGCTCCACAGTCAGTGCTCATGGAAGCAGGAATCAGTAGATCAGAATATGCATTTATTAAGAATATCTGCTACACAAGAATTCTTTAGAGCTTTGAAAAGCAAGAATGTTACTCTGAGGACCAAGGTGTTCCTGAACCCAACCGTGGTGTTTTCAGTTGCCTCATATGCAAGTGTAAGTTGGGCATGGAGTAAGAAATATTGAAGAAAAATTGATGCATTTGAACTGTGCTGGCAAAGAATATTGAAAGTACCAAGGACTGCAGAAGAACCAATAGATCTCTATCAGAAGAAGCATAGCCAAGAGTGCTCCTTAGAAGCATGGGTGGCAAGACCATCTATTGCATGCTATGCAAATGTAGTCAGGAGAGACCAGTCCCCAGAGAAGGACATATCTGAGAAGAAGGCCCACAAAGAGATGCATTGACACAGCGACTGTGACAGTGGGCCCAAGGACAGGAATGCTTGTGAGGATGGTGTAGGATTTGGTAGTATTTGCTTCTGTTGTTCATAGGGTCGCTATGGGTCTGAACCCACCTGCTGGAACTTAACAAAACAATGATAGTAATGATTAGTGACTTTCTGTATAGATGAACAGATTTTTTAAAAATAGTCGAAAAGTACATTTTAGAAGGGTAATCAGAATTAGTAAGTGTCATGAAATCATATTTCACTTGGAAAAAGATAGCTGAGAAAGATGATAGACAGACGTGCAAGGAGAGACAGCAAGCTCAGGAGTGACTTGGTGTGGATGTTGAATTTATATTGCCAGGTAGTTTGAATGTGGTCGCCTCTGGGCAAACAAAACCCTTGTTTTGGTGGGTATCCTGATTTTGCTTCTGCATATTCTCATTAGGGTGAGGTCGCCTTAGAAGAGGCAGTGGGAGAACTAAACTAAAAGAGTAAAAATATTATAATAGAACCATATTACAAAACACTAAGCAAATAAAGTAAAAAAAATAGAATCAGCAAATGGATAGTCATTCCAGCTCTTTAGGTAGTATTTATGTGTGAACTCGTGGGTTAGGTTGGGCGTGGGTGTGGGGGACTGTACTAAAGAAAGGTGGGGAAAATGG